GATAGCTTGGGTAATTTATAGTAATAATACTAATACTTTCCTTTTCTATCCTTATTTGAGTTATATTAATAGATTGTAATTATAAAATACATACTTGTATATTATAAAGTCTGTTGTTATATATTAGTTTTATGATATACCTAGTTATATTAGTTATTCAAGACTCACACTATAATATGGATGATTGTATTATACTTTCATTTATAATACTTAGTGGAATTACTGCTTTCAAAACGTGAATTAGAACTGGCTCATCAGCAAACATTTTCCTACAATGCCTTTTGAAATATAATATTGGTTATGGCTATTGGAGCGGGTACCACTTTCCATACATTGGTGCCCATCATTCTTTTAATAAGATACTCTTTATGAACCGGTTGTTGTGGAAATCCTTGGGGGAGGCCTTTGACCAGCAGTGGACATCATGTGGCCGAAATGAAAGAACGAACACTAAGAGTAGGCGCACACCGTTGATTTTTCGTCGGCCGATAGTTTAGTCGGGCAGTTGATCAGTATGGGCGTGTATGGAAGTGCGCACACTACGCCGATTCCATTTGGCCGATTCTTCATAGTTCGTATTTCAAAATCGGGCACAACTATCGGCCAACTAAAAATCAACGGTGTGCGCCTACTCTAATGGAATACCTGCAAGAAAAATTAGGATGCAAAATCTTAAATTAATGTACCTACTTTAATTTTAAATCGAATTCCTTGTTAAATAAAATAATTTTAAATAACATGATTTTTATCATGTTGCTAGTTTAATAAAAAATATTACACCGGTAAACAAAATTTTTTTTGTTGCGCATGGATTTTAATTATTATATTCTGATATACAAATTTATATACAAAAGTTTGATAACAAATCGAAAATATTTGCTTTTTAAGAAGTTATAGCGATTTGAATTTTCCATCTTTATAGTAGAATGTCTCTAAAGATGCACGTTACATTCTCATTGGGATAAATTTATAGATAATTATAGGGGCTTATTCGCAAAAACAAGGGGCACGCTTCCATCAAAATATAGGTAGTGGGATTTGAGAGACGACGTTGCCAAGGCCAGTATATTGAAAGCATGATAAAGTAAGGTTTTTATGAGAAAAATATTCTATGGAACATGATAGGAAAGTAGAACTCTTCATTTTTAATAAATATTTGGACTCTATTTAAAAACTTGAATCTTAAATAGATGTTTGGTATCTTTTAATCATTAGAAAGAAAAGTAAATTTGGCAACAAATTAAATCATCTCTATGTCCATGTTTCATACATTCATTGATTTTAATTTTTCTATTTTTTACACATAAAAGCAAATTCAAAACAATTTTTTGTTGGCGCAAAAATACTGTAGACAGTTGTATTCTACACCCATAACTTACTAACTTGACTAGTAGTACGAGTATACGCATTAATAAAAATATAAATAAATATGACTTTTTTTAGGACTTAATGTGAGTGCTCAAAGGAGAGGACTCAGTATTATTGTTCCTTTTAAATGTGGCTACTAATACCAATTCTCGTTCCCACCACTGCAACTCATAAATGGCTAAGATCTAGAGCTTAGCCACCAACTGACTTTTGAGCAGTATAAAAAACCATTTCACTTCCAATCACCTACCTCGAATCATTGCTAAAGATGCCTCCAACTATTTGTGTACCAATATTCAAATCCTGCACAGTTTCAAGTCTAGCATTAATTTCAGCAAGATCTGATTCTTCTAAATCAGTCCATCCAGGCAATTCAGGTATTTGCTGACTGAGAGGCACTTGTATCAAACAATATTTTCCTTGTAGTTCTGAATTTTCTAACTGGCGGTTTATGCCAAGACATTGGTGATAGTTTCCCAGGTCTAATGTGTTGCCTTGCAAAATTCCCCTGGGGATCCTTATTCCTGCATCGATGACTGTAGAAATGTGGTTAATTTAGAAAACGTAGTCAAAAAGTTTTTTTTTCCTTTTTTTATCCACAACGAGGAAGCTCTTGGCCTGTATCTCACCTGATGGTAAGTGATGATAAGGCCAAAAGGAAAAACGAGATTCACCCGGAAAATCAACCACGGAGGAACTGGCTATCTTACCTCTAACTGCCGGAACACAACAATGCTGTTAACAATGTTGTTATGGCGACAGACTTAGGTAAGATGGTGGTAGCTAGCCAGGCGGACTAAGATTTAAGAACAAGCCCTACCACCATCCAAGCCGAACAGAAAAGTCTGCCCCCACTGGGAATCAAACCCGGGACCTCTGCGTCTGAAGCAGGTGGTCTTATCACTAGACCCCAGAGGCGGTTCATTGTATCTCGGTAGTTTAATATTATATTTAAATCAGAAGTAATTAATATTTTTATCAGAAAAAGTAGGAAGTAGGTAATGAATGATATTAGATTTGTAACCATTTAAAAATAAATCATAGATAAACAGAGCTGATTCATGTCTAGGAAAAAAGGAAGATAAAATTATCATGCTTCTAACAAATTCTCCATAGAAATTAAAAAAAAAACCTACAAAATGTAAGTATTATTTTATTACAGACCAAAAAAATAGTCAGAAAAGTCACTTTTCTGAACATTTTTTTCTTTTACAAAAGTACAATTTCTATTTTAACTATTAAAAAAAATGTAATAACTTAACAAAGCTCAATATTGTAAGCACAAAAATCCAAAAACTTGCATTAAAAATTGGTGGGAACGCGTTGTAACTGAAACCGGATATGAAAACTATTTTTTACTTACATTGCAATTGCAGTAAAGTCAAGATACTTTACTGCAATTTTATTGCAATGTCTAACTAAAACCGGATATGAAAAACATTTTCAACTTACATTGTAGTAGTAGTAAAGTATCTTGCACAATAAAATTAACATGCTCGTCACATAATTCTGGATCTATCACTTCTTCGAATAAAACCTGATCTATGGCAGGATTCTTTGCATCCCAAACTAAGCTAGCATTCACTTTCTGACTTAGTATCAAAACCAAAAAGAAAAATAATTTTATAACCATTTTCACCACCGTAACCAAACTCCGTTCATAATATATGAGTTACTATTGATATAAATGAAATCGATTAAACAATCTTGGTACGTCAATTGCTTATCTTCGCTCTTAGTTTTTGGTGTAGCTCATTGAAAAGCGGCACAACATTTTTTATTTATTTCCAAGTTTAAGCCTATTTTTACAGAAATCCAATACAATAGACAAACGAAATATGTCAGGAAGGTAACAATAGTAATATAAGTAAATTAAATTTATTGCTATTGGTGATTGGATATTATGTTTTCGTTATATTTTTTCAATGTTATAGTAGTAAATACAAACATTACGAGTGCAATATTATACCAAAAATAATAAAATTTAAAAAAATCTTTCGTTCTAAGACTAAATGGATATTCCAACGAATCCATTTGTAGAAACAAAAATAATATTTCTTGAAAATTCAAATACTTTTTTTATTGCGTAATTATAATCGTAATAATAAAATAATTATGAGTTTATGTAAAAAACTAAAATTTTAAGTTGTTTCAATTTGCTTTATACGTACCTAAATATTAATATTGTTACTTTTGATAAATTGATTAACTTTATTGCTAAAATGATAAAAATTGCAGATGTTATTAATAAGCTTAGTTTGATTGCGGTAAGAATTTTCCAATATTTTTTTATATATTCGTCTCTGTTTTTAGGGTTCCGTAGTCCTGACAAGGAACCCTTATAGTTTCAGTAGTCATGTCTCTATCCGTCCGAGATTTTGCTTGGAAACTATTGGCACTAGAGAGCTGTAATTTTGTTGAGGTATGTATATTAAACACGCCGACAAAGAGGTAGAATAAAATTATGAAAAAAATTTTTTTTAGGGTAGCTCGGTAGCTCCCCTACATGTAAAGTGGGTATGATTTTTTTTTCATCTTCTACCCCATCGTGTGGGGTATCGTTGGATAGGTATTTCAAAATGGCTTAGGGGTTTCTAAGACTATTTTTCCATTTAGGGAGCTGTTTGCAAATAATTAAAGTTTAAAGTGCCAATTTTTGTTCGAGTAGGGCGTCCCCCCCTCTAAAAACTAAACTGTTGGCTTGGATGAACTTTCAAGGAAAACTATAACGGTTAAGATACATCAGTTAATTTTAGAGTACTTAATAGTCATTTGACTCACGTATTATAAAATTTCTTAACCAGTAAAAAATCCTTAGAAGAAAATATGAAAAGTGACTTTAGATGAAGACGTAATTGCTTGCTTCTGTGCCTCTAGTACGAAAAACTTTCGAGTTCGTTTCGTTGCGTATTCAAAGTGTCATCGAAAAATTTTGTATGAAAAATTAAACAGCGCCCCCTATATTATAGCCGCCCTAGGGGGCGCTGTTTAATTTTTCATACAAAATTTTTCGATGACACTTTGAATACGCAACGAAACGAACTCGAAAGTTTTTCCTACTAGAGGTACTGAAATAAATTGTAGTAACGACGGACAACTATAGTCTTTTTCACCTAAGATGATCCGTATGACGTTTCGAGTTTGAAAGATTTAGAGATGTCACATAACTAAACCATAGCGATTTATCTATCGATTTTTTTCGAAGAATTAGTAAATCCTACTTTTAGAGAAATATTTTGTAAAGGTGTTATTTAACAAAAAACATGTTTTTTTAATTACAAATATTATTGTAACAATTTTTCATTGATTCAAATTTAATGGTTCGTGTTCAAAAAAACGATTCCTAAAAAGTACTGGTTCTGTTTCTTTAAATTAAAAACTATTTATTTATTTTCAATGCGTTTATTGACTTTACAATAATCGAAAAATATAGTTGATTTTTGTGATGTTTTTAATAACTAAGTATTCACTGCAATCGATTAATGAACCGCGGAAATAATCGATTTTATTATACAAGAAATACCCCAGCACTAAATCTATTCCGTTTCACACATTGCGTACATTAAATAAAAAATATTTTTACATCGTATTTAATTAAAATATAATCAATAGACTCAGATTTTAAAGTGCAATACAGGCAAATGCAGATCGAAGATTGGTCGGACCACTCGAGCATCATCGCCGAGAAGGTACCGCCGGAACCACAGCCGCTACCGCCGCCGCCGTCCGCCGCGCTGCTGCCGCCGCCGCCGCAAGTTCTACCGCTGCCGCAGCCGCAAGTGTTGCCGCCGCCGCCGCCGCAAGTGTTGCCGCCGCCGCAGCCACTACCTTCGGAAGGGAGGACCGATATTCAAGAATTGGCCATGGCCATCACCAAGCTGTCACAGAGGGCAGAAGGTGACCTCACAATGCAACTGGTCGACCTCCCAAGTTTCAACGGCGCATGTGAAGAATGGCTCGCGTTCAGAAGGTCGTATGAAGATACCGCGCGCTCCTTCACACCGGCACAGAATTTGGCGCGACTACGAAGGTGTCTCCAGGGGCACGCGAGGGAGGCAGTCAAGAGCCTCCTGTTCACCGCCGAGGATCCGGAAGAGCTGATGAAGAGCCTGGAGGTCCGGTTCGGCAGACCTGGAGCCATAGCCCTGGCGGAGTTAAAGAAGATGGAAAGGCTGCCAAGGGTCAACGAGTCATCGGGGGAGATCTGCATGTTTGCCAGCCGAGTCCGCAATGCCGTGGCCACCATCAGGGCACTCGGCAAGACGGAATATTTGTGCGCACCAGGGGCCGTGGAGTGTCTCATCGACAAGATGCCGCCGACAATGAAGTCTCGGTGGCTGATGTATCAACGTGAGCGCCGGGCAGAAGGGAAACCAGCGCACGAACTCATGTACGACTTCATGGAAGTTGAAGCAGATATTAACAGTGATTACGCTCCCCCGGAAGTGTCCTGGTACCAGAAGAGAAATATGTTCAAGAGGCCGGTTAACCATGTCCAACAAACAGAAGGACGCCGTAAAGAACCAAAGACTGACGCGAAGAAGTGCCCAGAGTGCCGTGAAGATCACTGGCTGTACGAGTGCAAGAGGTACAGGGAATCCAGTGTAGACGGAAAATGGGAAATGGCAAAGAAGGCAAGAATGTGTTTCAAATGCCTGCGCTTCAAGCATGCTAGAAACACATGCCGGGCACAGCCGTGCAAGAAGTGCACGAGGTGGCATCACACCAGTCTTCACTCGGAGAAGTCCGCAGCAACTAAGACTCAAGAGAAGCCCGCTGAAGGAGTTGTGTCGTCAGTGCACACCACGAGCTGCGGAAGGGCCTACTTGAAAATGACGCCGGTAAACCTCTACGGGCCCAAGGGGACAGCAAGAGTGCTCGCGCTCCTGGACGAAGGGTCCACCGTCACGCTGCTGGACTCATCAGTAGCGAAGAAGATTGGGGCGCAAGGGAAGCCGGAAGCCATCACCATCGCGATGGTCGGGGGGAATGGAATGGAGAAGAGCAACTCCCAGA